AAGAACAGCGGCTACCTCGGCGAGTACTACGGCGACGAGGACTACGATGACGAGGTGCCGGTCGAGGAGGCTGACCCGATTCTCGAGGCCGAGCACCAGGAGGAATGGGACGAGGCCGAGCAGGATGTCCAGTCGGCCATGGCAACCATACAGCATGCAAGAAGGACCTTGAAAGAAGCTCGCCAGAAGCAGAACAACGTGAAACTGGCGAGACAGTACTTCAGGACAAACTCCGGGGCGAACAACCGTGACTACAACAAGAACAGGGATGAGAAGATGGTTTGCCTCCGGTGCGGGCGCACCGGACACCGGGTGGCAAACTGCCCCGACCCACCGACGGCCTCAGCCAAAAGCGCAGAGGTTACAGCGACGACATCCTTCGTGTGCTTCAGTGATGAGGCCCAGGCCATGATGATCAGGAGCACGGACACCGATCCTCAGCAGGCAATGGCGGCTTGCATAAGCACGGCGGACGCTGTGGACCAAGGCAAAGCCGTCATTGACGGCGGGGCCACCAAAACCTTGGCGTCTGTGGCGGCAATGGAAAGGATCATGCACTTGAACAACCTCAAGAAGGGCGACACCGGCCTGGTCTCCATCGACCTCTCTGAGAGGCCAGTTTTTGGATTCGGCAACGGATCCGAGGATAGATGCAGTTCAACTGTAAAGCTTCGGATCGACGCTGCTAGCAAACCCGGGGAGGTCAAGGTGCATTGCCTGGACAAGGGCAATGGACCAATGCTTTTGTCCATAGATACTCTGCGCAAGCTTAAGGCCATCATAGACTTTGAGTCTGATCTTATTTGCTTTCGGGCCTTGGACGATGGCAAGCTTGTGCAGGCCGAGCGTTCTCAGACGGGACACCAACTGATGCCGATGACAGAGGACTGGTTAGCCAAAGGCTTAACCACGTCAAAGCCAGTCCCGGGCCTGAGCAGTTTTGTTAACGCGTAGGGACAGCTCCTTCCTGCTACTAGTTCCGTGGAAGCAGTGAAGGTCCCAGAGTTAGCGGAACATGGGGTGAAAATCACTCTGCAGCAGACTTCTTTAAGTAGCGAGTCGGATTTCAGGAGTGATTGTAAAGGAATTCAGAGTAGTAATAGTGTTTATTCTGCACTTGAGTCTGAAGCCGCTGAGTCCATCGACAAGTCACAGACGAGCAGACGGAGATCAGTGACTTTCGCAGCCAGTTGTGCGCTCCAGGAAGGGATTGATAGCAGCCCCCACAACGAGCACCCGAGGGAGCAGCATGCCGAAGCCCACCAAGGAGGACATGCGCACGGACCTGGCGATGTTGGGCGAGGCGGCGCCAATGGGATGGACCAAGGTGGAACTTGGACAACGACTTCGGGAACTTCGCGAACAGGGGATTGCAGATTCCGAGGCTCCTACGGCCCTCACCAGCATGGAGAAGATGCTCAAGGACCTACGGAAGGCGAGCAAGCTCAAAAGCACCCTCACCACCTTCTGTACCCAGGTCCTCCACCTCGAGCTCACGGGGAACGAGGTGATGTCCAAGATGATCGACAAGGCGACCAAGGAGATCCACCGGGTGTGCCCACCCGAAAGCCACGACTATGTCGGTTTTGGAAAACATGCGGACGAGCGCTATGTGACGATTGCGACCCAGTACCACGAGTACGCGAACTGGGTCAAGGTGACGTTTCGGGAGAATGGCGAGGAGCACGTGGACCCACGCCTGGCCCGCTTGGCCAAGTGGCTTATCGATCAGGAGCAGAAACCCGAGCCCAAGGTCAAAGCAGCGGTGCGGAAGGACAAGGGATACATGAAGATGCGAGTGCCCGACGACCGGAACCACAGCCCAGGCCGTCACAGCGGCAGCCGGTCGAGTACGGATCCTACACCGGCCCAGACGATGAGGATGATGACGCAGATGGCGGAGGCCCTGGAGTCCGTGCGCCAGGAGCTGGCCGAAGTGAAGGGCGAGAGACCGCGGAAGACCGCGGGACGAGCCGAGGAGGGGAGCGTGACGGACAGCTCCTTCAGCGTGCTGAGTGGCTCCCCACAGAAGGACCTCGACCTGTGAGCAGGCCTAGCACCGAGTTCTCGGAGGCATGTGCAGATATGAGTGCCTCCCAGCTCCTAAGTGCTCAATTGAAAAGTCAGAGCCTTAAGAGCCTTTCTTCGAACCAAGCCCGGGCCCTGGAGCGGCAAGCTTGGTCTGTGGTGCCAGACCTCTTTCAGTCTCTGGCAGGCTTCGCCAGGCCATGTGTAATGGAATGTACAAGTGAAGCCGACAATCTTCTGTCAAGCACTGTGCAAACGGTGGCAAAAAGCGATGATGCCGCGAGCCAGTGTGCCTTGTATAATGGTTGTGATTTGGCCAGCGACAGTGGGGTTCGCTTGATCATGAGTAGGATCGATGCTGAGAGTCCCCAACATGTCTGGTTGAGTCCTCCCGGAAGCGCCTACTCTCCTCTGCAAAACAGTAACCAAGCCTCTAAAGCTCAAACCGAAGCCCTCCGAGCCAAGCGTAGGGAAGCGTTGAAAGTGTTCGTAGGATGTGTTTGTGT